TTCTGATTACCACTTGTTCAGATCGATGCAGCACGGCTTGAGTGGTACACGCTTCCGAAATGTTGAAGAAGTGCGAGAATGGGTGGACGAATGGATTGCTTCGAAACAAACATCGTTTTATCGAGATGGTATCGCCCAGTTGCCAGAAAGATGGCAAAAAGTTGTAGAAAGTGATGGAAAATACTTTCATTGAAATAATTTAAATAAATTTTTTACAATAAATGCTTTTTCTCAGTATTTTTTGGGCGGAAACTAAGTTAAGGTCCTAATAAATTCCTCTTGGTTTACTGAAGCTATTATGTCCCTTTTTAACTCTCATAACAAAAATAAAAATTAGATATAATTCCATTTATTAAAATTTTTCAGAGAAAATAGTAACAAAGGGAAAAGAAATCTAAACATGTTTATTAAAAGAAAAACTCGTCCTGGAGAGAATCGCGTAGTCATTTTAAATCATCACTGAAAGAGGCTAGTAATTAGGACTCGTCTTGACTCGACTTGATATCATCTTGCATACACACACACACACACACACACACACACACACACACACACACTAAATATAGAATCAACTTCAGGAACATAGGATAGATTTCTAGCCGAGTAGCGACGGTTCTTACTAGCCAATTTTTTTTACTGATTTATAATTAATGTCACTCAGTATGCTGAGAGGAAAGAGAACAAGACGTAACGCAAAAATTATGATAATTATTCTGATTCGACCACGCGCTTGGGTGCTTGGGAGCGCGCGAGGATGACACCGTGCCAATGCCAAGACCCAATGATAAAGGGGCGGCGCCGCGATGGCGTCTCCTTCGATTTGGTGTCGGATTTCCACCAGGCCGCCATTTTCTCTCCTCCTCTCTGTCTCTCTCGCCCTCTTCCTCCGCGGGTCCTCTCATGCCGACCCTTGAGGTAGGGATGCTCGTCCTTATCAAAACGAAACCGGGGACGACCGACTTTGCCATCCTTCTCTTCGATTTTCGTTAGATCTAAGGACACACTTGACAGTCTGACGACGATAAGTTTTTCACAGCGACAAATGACCCTAATAATAGACAATGGAAATAGATAAAATTTAATTAGTGCCAATGAGCGACGACAGACAA